GGAGAAAGGGTGACCTCAGGGACACAGTGGCACTCGACATCCTGCTGAGAGAGCAAGGAAACCTTTTTTTGCGAGAGAGCACAGCAACCCCCCTGTCCTTGCAAAAAGGGAACCGATTCTCCTGGACATTTCTCCAACACTCAAGGTCCTTTTTAAGCTGCTCTCGTGGCTCCAAACCTGCTCGGGGTCTCTCCCAGCTGTTGGCTCTCCGTGGAGTTAACAGGCACACACTCTATTCCATCCTCCCCCAGCCAAACCCAATTCTCACCGGCAGGACGGGCCCTGCCCTTACCTGTCCAAGCTCCCAGCTCGGCACAGCCGTGGGGACGGAGCAGCTTCCCAAGGCAGCTCCCGCCCGGCAGGAAGCACAACTCGCCACACTCCACCAGCCGCTGGGCACTGACCTGAGCTGAGCCCCAGGGAGGGCACAACTGGACAGAGAAGGAGCAAAAAGCATTAACGCAGCACCAAGAAACTGACACCAGTCTTTGCCTCCTAACCCTGCACGGGGAATGGCTTTGGGATTCCGAGGCAAACCCTGAGACACCCAGAGAGCAACAGCCCCGCAGCCCTGCCACGGCTCCCCACGGGGTCACCCGGCAGGTAACGGGCTTACTCGGACCCCGCTGCCCAGCACAACGCGCCCCTAAACGCCCCCCAGCTGCCCCGGTCCACAAACCCAGCGGCCAAGGCGCTCTCCCCTCCGCAGCCCGGGCAGCAGCGGAGCCGCGCCCTCAGCCCTCACACACACAACCGGCCACACCCCCCCCGCCGGTCCTTTATACCGCGGGCCGGCAGCGCTGCCCAATCAGCGCTCGAGCGCCTCCGCCCAATCCCAGCCCGCCTGGCCCCGCGGCCCCGCCCCGCCCGCTCAGCCCGGCCCCGCCCCTCGGCGCGGCCCCGTCCCCCGCTCCCTCAGCGCGGCTCCCGCCGCCGCCGCAGCCCCGGCGGGCGCTGCTGGGACCGGGGAAGGGCGGGTGGGAGCTCCGCGGTCACGGCCCGACCGGGAGCTCTCCTAGGAAAAGAGGGAGGCGGGGAGCGGGCGGGAGCGGGGCCCTGCGGGGCATGCGGCGTTCTTGGGGGCGGGCAGGGCGGGGCCGGGCCGGGATTGGCTGGACTGGACGGGGGGCGGGGCTGCGCGGGCCGCGGGCTATAAAAACCGTGGCGGGGGGGGTATTTATGTCACCTCTGTCCCCTCTAAGTTATCCCGGGTTTTCCCAGCTGAAAGCTGCAAGGAAGCACACTCCCTTATCAATGATTTGCTTTAATTAACCAACTCAAATGAACAAATTAAAACCAAATCAATATTATATTATTCTCTTTAATCAAGATATATACATATTGCAGAATACAAAAGAACTTTTTTAGCCCCAAAAACTCTTAAAAGAGATATATAGGGCACGGCTGCACTGCACCTCCAAACCAAGGACAATTAGGAGAAAAGAAAAACCCAGACTGAGATTCCTTGGAGATTGGTGCAGCTGCTTCCATCCAAAAAAATCCTTGGTCTGCATGAACACCTGCCTGAATCCTAGGAACCTGTGATGTCATCAATATCCTCATGGTCCTTTTTATTAAAAGTAGATTTCCACGGAGAATTAATGAAATACAGAAAATTAAACTGAAATGTAAATGAACATTCCCCCAGCTCAGCAGGTTGCAGCATCCAAAAGAAAATGAACAGAAAGATTATGGACTGGGATCATCACCAATCCCAAGTCCCTAGTGTGGAATACCACTCTGCTTGGTTTTATAAATCACCACTTTTCTTACTGGGCAAACCCACCAACTTTAGTTCAAATTCACCAAGTTCAGAACTGCGGCCACATGGATTTTACTGCCCCACGTGCATGGTGGAACCCAGGAGAACACAAAGGGTGTGGGTCCTCTGGGAATGTTCACAAGGCACCACACGGATCCGATCTGTGACTACAGCCCAGTGGGAGATCTCTTCCCAACCCTTCCAGGTGTCCTGATGGACACATCCCGACACACAACAGGTTCCTCTGCCAGCTGCGTTGGGGAGTATCTGTAAGGTGCCACACAGAAAGGAGCCCCTCATGGACATAGTCTTGGGACTCGGGGGAAAAAAGCACTTTTCAGTCCTTAGCATCTCCCACTCCGTCGGCATTGATAGCAAACATGGCCTCAGCCTCGGGAAGACACGGAGAGTCGTAGATTTTACAGATCCTGGTCTCTCCCCGGCCTTTCCGCAGGTACAGTCTGACAGGGAGAGGGAAGGAAACAGGTCAGGGTGCACAGCCTACTTCCAGAAAATCATCATAATCCATAAAGCACTATGGGGAGCTGTAGGAACATTCCCAAAACGTTCATTTCCCTGAGGGCTCAGAGTGGCACTAAATCAAAGCACAGGCTGGACCTGCCGCAGACAGATCACATAAACCCCAGAAGTAAAAACTACTTAGCCAATTCCATAAACCCCAAGTCAGGCTCCTGGGAGGCGACCATCTCTCCTCTCACCTGGTGGTGGAAGCATGAGCGATGATATTCCCTCCGATGGGTTTTTTGGGATCCGCGGCGAACATGGCGGCTCCATCCACCTGTGCCACCACCTGGTTGGTGATGACGACGGCCACGCCAAACTGCAGGGGCAAACAACCAGAACCCAGCTATTCCCCACAGTCTGAACAGAATGGGGGGAAACAGAGCCAGGTGCACCCCTGCTGTCCATAACTGGGGCATCGAGCCCCTCCAAACCAAGGGAAGCGGAGACTGAGCGACAAAGCCCTTTGCATCAAATTGCTGGGATTCATGAGGAAAGCAAGGAGTTCTACCTGGGGAATGAAGCAGCGCTGTGTTACCTCATCTGCCAGGCGCAGCAGCATCCGCAGGAACCTGGCCAGGTGCATCTGCCTGGCGGAGAGCTCCCCCCTTCCCGAGTAATCCGTGCGGTACAGGGCCGTGGCGCTGTCCACGATCAGCAGCGCGTACCTGCCAAAGGCACTCAGGGTCAGCAGCACTGCCAAGCACGGCCAACGCCTCCACGGGAGTGTGCTGGTGCCTGGAGAGCTGGGATGCTGCTCCAGGTGGGGTGGCAGCTCCTCCCCACACAAGAAAACCCAGCAAGCCCAAAGAAACTCCTGCGTGGTTAAAAAATTAGATTCACTGTGGTGATACGAACGTCCTGTTTGGACAGCACAGGTATCTGTGGACAGGTTCCTACACACCCTGTTCCACCATCACATTCCCTCTAAGGCTGTGTAAATCTTACTTCCAGTCCCAGGTTTTCTGGGAGCTTGGAAAAAATCAACGTTATTTCTAAAAACAGTTAGAAATCGAGCTTTAAAGTTGTTTCTCAGGCTGGCACTTGATGGACAGTTTACTGTCCTTGTACAGTGACATCGGGCCGAGCCAGTCGCTGTCGCCCCGAATTCCAGCAGCCAGAGGTGTTGCTGATCACTGACTGCCCACAGAGCTTGTCACCTGGATAAGCCTAAGGATAACCCTATTTGGGAACAGGATCCATGACATCAGAGTTCTTACCGTGACTCAGCCATCATGGCCGAGGCCTGATAGAGCAGCTGGGTCTGGTGGTCGGTGTTGAAGCCCCGGGCATAGGCCACGTTGTCCAGGACGTCGCTGCCAGACAGGCCATACCTGGGGAAACACCAGGGGAAATAAAGACAGAAACCTCTAAGTGACAACTTCCTCCATAGGAGTTATCCTGCAGCTTCACTTAAAGGCTGGAATAAAAACTCACGTTCCTGGGAGAGAGAAAAACAGAGGGAAAAAATGCAACACGTGGGGATGAAAAGAGAACAGAATAATTGGAACCATTTTAAATGGATGAGAGGAAACAGCTTCAAGTGATACCAGGGGAGGTTCAGGTTGGATATTGGGACATTTATTAATGGAAAGGCTGCCCAGCCCTGGCACAGGCTCCCCAGGGCAGTGGAGGAGTCCCCATCCCTGGAGGGATGTAAAGCCCTGTGGATGTGGCACTTGGGGACATGGGTTAGTGGTGGCCTTGGCAGTGCTGGGCAGTGGCTGGATCGTAGAGGGCTTTTCCAACCTGAACAATTCCATGATTCCAAGTACTCTCTGTATACAGCCAGCACAGACACACCTATGACTGCTGCAAACATCATTTCCCTTTCTCATCAGTATCAAGTGTTATCAGTGTCATCCAGACGTGTTTGTTGACAAATATCCACCGCTGGGAGCACTCCTTGCTGCAGGAAAAGCCAGCAGGATTAGACCGAATTCCCTTCCAAGATAGCTGGCAGGATCTGGTACTGTCCCCAGCTGCTTGGGAAGCTCACATGCCCTTCCAGTAGCAAAAAGTGAGGGAAATCACTTCCTGCTGAGGGACAACGACACGAGAGCTGTAGGGAGAGAGCGGCAGAGGTGGGAAAGGAACAGCAACAGCAGATGTTTCCAGAGTGAACATCTGTCAAGTCAACCTCCAGGGCCTGTGTAAAATGTCTTCCAGCTAAGCTGTGAAGAGATATATTCCTTTCTTCCCCTCACAGACCTTTCAGCCACAGCCAGGAGCCGCTCCGGACGGAAGGTCCCCTCTGTGTCGATGTACATGGCTTTTCCCTCTCCACCACCACGGTCAATGGGGAGCTAAAGGAGAAGGGAATAAAGGAACATGGAATGAAGTGTCCATAAACACACCAGAGATGGCCTTATGCCCTCACTGATATCATACATAACACCATAGGTAACATCCCAAGTTACTGTGACTAAAGTCCCACTTAGCTGGGAAAAAAAAAAAGGAAAGATTACTGGTTCTGATCTTCAACACCTTCCTTCTGGTACCCTGGAGTGCCAGGACAAGGGGGAGGGATAGATTGGATATTGGGAAGGAATTCTTCCCTGTGAGGGTGGGGAGGCCCTGGCACAGGTTGCCCAGAGAAGCTGTGGCTGCCCCATCCCTGGGAGTGTCCAAGGCTAGGCTGGATGAGGCTTGGAGCAACCTGGGATAGTGGAAGGTGTCCCTGCCCATGGAAGTGGATGGGCTTTGAGGTCCCTTCCAACCCAAACCATTTCAGGATTCCATGATTCCACATAAGAGGGCAGGTGCTCAACTTTGAGCTGGTAAGTTTAGGGAGTCAACTAAATTACCAAATTAAGTCCAAGCCTCTAATATTTTATGGAATACTAAAATCTCTTGAAGTCTGAAATTAAAGAGTACATCTACTAAAGCTTGGAGTTTCTGGACCAGGCTGTAACAAACAGCAACCTCTAGAAAGCAATAAACACTTAGAAAGCCAAGAAAAGTGCCCAAATTAGCAAATTCCCAAATGCTGTGGTGTCTGTACATTGGATTGTAATGAGGTGACCCGCTCACCTGACAGGTGACTGCCAGTGTGTGACACAGCTGTGTCTTCCCAGTACGGAACTCCCCAAATAACTCTGTTATGGACCCTGTTTCTATTCCTCCTAAAGGGAAGAGAATAATAATAATAAATAACAATAAAAATTACAAACAAAAACCACATGCAAAAACATTGCAACTACAGAGACTCAGTCAAATATTTAATTTGGCCAAAAGCTTCAAAATTAATTGGGAAAATTCATTGTCATTCTGAAGTTTGTTCATATTATAGATCAAAAGATGAGGTGTGTTTTTGAAGATGCTGCAGAGCTGAAATTATTTGGTTTATTTTTGGATTACCAGAAGAATGGTGAGATGGTGATACCCAGTTTTGCTTTCTTGAAATATGTCACGGACTAGAATAAACCAGAAACATCCCAAAGTGGAGAGCTCTGGATCTTGCATTGTGACTAAAAGGCTTAAAAACTGTTTCTGCAGCTTCTAAAATGAAATCAATTATACAAGAGCAGTACTTGATGAGAGTTTTCACTTGTTCTGTGTGATGTTGTGCAAGGATCATGTTCACAGTAAAAAGCCCACCCCAGTAATGGAGGTTAAGCAGTAAAGAGCAATAAAGTGATTACCCTGAAGCAGTTTGTCCAGTTCCTTGGAGCCAGTGGTGATCTGGATGATCTCTGACCTCCGCTGGTGGAATTCCGTGGCCGTGGTGAAACCCATGGGAACCAGTTTGGCTGCCTCAGCCTGAGGGAAAACCAAACAGAGCAGTGCCAGGAGAGCTCACCCTGTTCATTAACCCCCAGTAATTAATATTCCCTGCTTTGTGGAGAAGCACCTGTATCATTCCACGCACATTTTATTTTACAGACTGGGCACTAGTTGGTACCTCTGAACAGAACTGAAATTGTGCTCCAGGAAAAAGCTCCAACATCCATTTTGTGTGTTTTATGGAAATATCTTCCCCTTGCCCCCCACCCTTCCAGCTCAGTTCTGTCCTGGTGGGTTTTGTCCCTTCTCATCAGAAGCCATGTCACACCTCTAACCACCTTTACTGCCCTTTGAAGACCTTCCAAATCCACCAGAACTCTTCAAGCCAGTAGAAAGAAGCTTGTGGAATATCTTGGGTCAATGTTCCATAACATCCTTACCAAGATTTTGTCAGCTTTGGCTTCGCTGATGCCTTTGATGTTCAGCAGCTCCTTCTTTGGTGCATAAGCCACGGCCTCCACGGTGTGAAATCCAGCCTCCTCCAGCTTCTTCACATCGTTGGCATTTATACCACATTGCTGGGAGAGAGGGGGAAAAAGGGACAAATTTTGATTATTTTCGATTGTTTTGGTTTTTTTTTTTGACAGAACACAAGTAAGAATTTAGCAAGAGTTTTCAGATACACCTTGCTTTCAAAGAAAAAGGTTTAGATGGGATATTGTGAAGGAATTCTTCCCTGTGAAGGTGGGGAGGTCCTGGCACAGGTTGCCCAGAGAAGCTGTGGCTGCCCCATCCCTGGGAGTGTCCAAGGCCAGGTTGGACAGGGCTTGGAGCAACCTGGGCTAGAGGAAGGTGTCCCTGCCCATGGCAGAGGGGTGGTACTGGAGGGGCTTTAAAGTCCCTCCCAAACCAAACCAGTCTGGGATTCTACGAAAAAGACCAGCAGATCTCTGGAAAACTTACTCCAGAGGCAAGTGCTCTCCTACCTCCAGCCTGGATATGAGCTGTGGCCCAAAGCTCTCCTCCTCTGCCGACGTGTCCGCGCTGGCCTCCAGCTGCATCTGCATGGCCATGGCAGCGAGGGGCCAGGACCCCCTGGAAGGGACCAAACATCTCAGGATCCCGTTTCAGGAAGAGCTCGTGAGGTCACACGAGTCAGAATCATGGAATTATTCAGGCTGGAAAAGCCCTCCGAACTGGCACCAGCTGTCGTGGCTGGGCTGTGCCTCAGAGCCGTCCTCGGGACAGCCACTAACATCTTAGGAAGGGCTGGAAGGGGCTCCAGACCCTGCAGAGGATCTATCCCACCCTCGGGAATGCTGAGCAGGATGGGAGGCACGAGCTGCCACGGGAAACTGAAGGAAATAAGGGAACTCACACATTTTGGATACAACACAGAGTTTGGATATTGTAGTGAAAGGACAGCGGGGGGATGAATTCCAACCGGCAGAGGGGAAATTTACACTGGATAATGGGAAGAAATTCCTGGCTGTGAGGGCGGTGAGGCCCTGGCACAGGTTGCCCAGAGAAGCTGTGGCTGTCCCATCCCTGGAAGTGTCCAAGGCCAGGCTGGACGGCGCTTGGAGTAACCTGGGCTGGTGGGAGGTGTCCCAGCCCACGGCCGGGGGTGGGATGGATGATCTTTAAGGTCCCTTCCCACCCGACCCTTCCGGGACTCCACGGTTCCCGCCGCCCCCGGAGCCAGCGGCCCCTGCCCGGTGCCAGCCCGCGGTCTGTGGCTCCCCGGTGTCCCCGCCGTGTCCCCCCGCCGAGCCGGTCCCGGCCCTTTGTTCGATCCCCTCACGGCCCCTCCGCTCCCGCCCCGCTCCCCTCAGCCCGCCCTGGGCCGGCGCTGGACCGGCCGCTCCCGGCACCGGGGAGGCCCCGGGGGAGCCCCGCGACCGCCCGGCGGGCCCCGCCCGTCTCACCCCGGTGCCGATCCCGATCCCGATCCCGATCCCGGTCCCGTCCCGGCCGTTCGGACGCTCCCGCCGCCCCGTCACGTGACGCGCCCGCCTGCGCGCGCAGAGGCCCCGCCCCGCTCGGGAGCGCGCGCGGGAAACGGCTCCGGGAACGGGACGGGAAGGGACGGGAAGAGAATGGAATGGGCTCATGGAGACCAGCCGTGGGGCAGCGCGGCCTTTCTTTCCAATTTCCCTTCCTTTTCTTCTGTTATCTTTTTTTTCCCATTTTATTTTCCCTTTTTTTTTTCCTTTTCTTTCCCCCCACTTTTTTCTTTTTCCCTTTTTCTCCCCTTTTCTTTCATATTACGAAAAGTCTTCCCGAATTATTTAACAAAATTATTTCAATATTAGTATCAAATTTGCAGTCAGTGGTTTACATACAGCCAATAATCCCCACTGGAAGCAGGAAAGGTACTAATTCCAACGTTTAATGAACTTCCACCTTCCAAACAGAAGGAAAACTTATAAAAACACAAAATATATAAAAACTGAAACACAGGGAAACATTCTTAAATTCAACATATTTTACAGGATACGAAGATTTGCAGCTGGAGAACGGAGAGCTGGGCCAGGGTTGGTGCTTCTGCTCCATAACTCGGCCACGGGGAGACCAGATCCAACAGCAAAACCCACATAATATAAAATATATACATAAAACCAAGCTAAATCTTACAGGTAACTCCTAAATTTAAGGAGCTCTGTCTCCTTACTAAAATTCCAAGGCATTCCAAACTGGGACAATGCACCAGCATCCTGAGATTGTGCTGGACTGACACTGAACCTCAGAACAAACTTCAGTCACACCAACAGCTTTGGGGCTGTTTCATCCCAAAGTTGGTGGTCAAGCACAGGGATTTTTTGTCTTAATTGCCAAAATATCTCTGACTTTGGCCACATGGTTAATTGCTACAGGTTAATTGGTTAATGAATCAGATGCAGGGATATAGTGTCCGAACTGGGAGAGGCTCCAGGAGATGAATAAAGAGCAGACCTGGTGGGATCCGCAATTTAGTACATGGTAATGAAATCATGACAGTGAAAGTAAACTCCAGTCCAGTTAATTTAGAGAATCCTCATCATTGCTTTGTCCAAGAGCTTTGTAAATCACCCCAGAACTAAATTAACAGGCTATGGCAGAAGAATATCCTTGTTCGGAATGACATTCCAAGGAGGTCACGATCCCCTGGAGTGACTGAGAGAAGACGAAAGGCAGCTTGGATTTACAAAGGACATAGGAATTTCTTCCTTCTCCTCTTCAGACACCTCTGCTTTTGTAAAACTCGTGGTCTACACCAAGTAGAATACTTGGTGCAAACTACAAGAATACTAAATAGGCAGGAATACTAGAGCTGGGGGGCATAACAGCATTCCCATTCTGGTGAGAGACAGCTGGAATTCTCACGAGAATAAACTCAAAGACTACCCATTCCGACTGCTTCAGTCTTGCCCATGCATCCAGAGGATCATCTGGGATCCTGGAGCAGGTTCTGATGGATCAGAGTGACTATTCTCCGCAGATAGTGGTGACCAACTGGAACACTGGAGAGAACAGCAGAAATTTCCTCCTTCCTGGGGAAGATGAAAGGATCACAAGCGTTGGAGAGGATCTGGAGAGCTTAATTCCCCATCCCTAGTGTGGAATGAAGTCATGTGGAGAGGTGCTTGTTCAACTCACCCGATATTCCCGATGTGGGTTTGGACACTGAAGGGAAGTGGAGCAGATGGATAGTCGGGGGAGAGAGACAGAGTCAACTCAAACTTGGCAAAAGCTGCGGAAGCGGAGAACAAAAGCTTCACCCTGTGGAACAAACACAAAGATCCATGCAAAATAGTCAAATGTGCTGCTTCCGCCTTGGAATGGGGGCCAGGAGTGGGAATAAATGATGTCACTGATGCAGCAAAGCTCAGGAACTTCCAAAGAGTTCCAGCACAGACCCACAGGAACTGCAGAAATCAGATAAAGAGACCCTTTGCACTTTATCAACACCTCAGAATCCAAAGCCCCAACTTCCCTCACAGGAAAAGTTAATACAGAACCATCCAAAAATTATGGGAGAAAAGAGACTAATAAGAGAGAATAACAGAGACTGATAACAAAATATATGTTTTCTAGTTAGCATAAAATATTCCCAGGTAGTTAAAGTTTTCCAAAGTTTTAAGTAGGACTGACTTGCCTCCAATTCCATGGGATTTTTGGCACTCTTGCAAAGAGAACTACAAAATTAGAATAACCTCTGGGAACAGCACCAAGGTGGGCAGAGCAAGCTAATTATTGGACACTTCTTAATTAAAGATATACGTGAATAATGGAAGGATGAGGTGAAGCTGTATTTGTCTTACCCCACTGGGACATGCTACAAAATCAGGAAGTAGCAAGAGAAAATGAAAAGTAAAGAAAGTAAACTTTAGTTTCACTGCATCCATCCTTCTGTGACTGATTCTGCTTGGCTGAGGCAAAGAGAAGATTAAAAGAAACAAAGCCCTAAGCTACAGGTAAACTCTTGGTTCTATTTCCTTTGCATTGGTACAATCCGGCCTAAATATTTCAGAGTCAGGTCAAGCAGGAAAATAGCAAGGAAGGAGAAGTTGTCTGGTAGTCAGGAAGTGGCTGGATCCATGAAAAGCTTAATTTCCATGCATTAGGATACTATAGTATGTATGTATGTATGTATATCTTCAAGTGTATGGAAATAAATTAAATTGCTGTTAAAAACAGCAGCATAAAATCTCAACTTCAACAAAACCAAGCTGAAAATATTTCAGTTTTGTTCCTGATTATCCACAAACAGCCTCTGAAGGACTGCTGTGAACCCCATCTTATGGAATCACGGAATATCCTGAGTTGGAAGGGACCCATGAGGATCAAAGTCCAACTGCTGGCCCTGCACAGCCCCAAGAATCCCACCATGATAACCTGAAGTTACTCACTCTGTGTCTTTGATATCTGTCTTCAGGAGATTGAATTTTCCACCCCATCTCTCCAGAAATTCCATCTCTTCTCCCAAGATTTTGCAACGATTCACCACCAAGGAGATGTCATGGAGAACCTGAGGGGGCAATCAGAAAAGGAACCACGTCAACACCCAGGTGGTGACTACGTGACACTTGAAAACACAGTTTCTGCTAGAAAGTATAAAAAATAAGGGTAGTTTAACTGCTGTCTCAGTCTGGATGGAGTCTGGATGGAAAAAATGAAACTGTGCAAGTATAATAAATGTACATTTTTTGCTTTAAGTTTCTCCTTTCTGCTTTGTCAATGGGCTTGTCACAGCCAGGCAGGAACCCAGAAGAAGTTTGGGTTGGCAATTTAAACCTACATTCTTTAGGAGGCAGAATGGCCTTCAGCTTAATTCTTTATTTTTGTAGCAGAAAAAAAAAAAAAAGGCTTTTAATAAACTCCAGCTTTTAGGACTCCTGTCTTCAGGGGCAGGTATTTACCCTCACACCTCAGAATATTCCTGAAGCAGATTTTGGCTTGCATTGCTGAAGCTTTCATGAAGGTGCTTTGGTTCTCAGGATCAGCCCTATTTTCTCTGTGACAGGAAAGATTTAAGGGTTTTTTTTCAGAGTCTTATAAGGTTCCCTGGAATGTTACCTGGGGCAAGTAGTACAGCGTGGGACACTTTTCCTGCCAGCTTCCCTGACTTTCGATAAACTGAAAGATGAGCCTTTGGACTAAACACGAGGAGGGTGGAGCTTGTTCCACTGTAACACAAAAGAAAAAAAAAAAACACATTGCCAGGAACCTCTGAAAAGCCATTTCATAGAGCATTTGCAGGTAAAGCACAAATTTAGAGTCTTCCCAACAAGAGATTAGCAGGGCTGCTACTTTCAAGCTACCCAAGAATATCTCACCGTCCAGGAAACACTCGAAGTTCAGGCTAACGATGGTTCTGGAAGGATCTACACCAAAATCATCACCATCTGAGAAAGAAAGGAAAAAAAAACAACCCAGTTATTTCCATACTTAGTTCTGGAGTTACAGCTCTTCCTCTGCAGAAACAGCCATCCATTACCTTTCTGAATTTTCATATGAAAAACATATCCAAAGCCATGCCACCTATCTCAGCTTACCCAGTGGAGTATATTTTGTATTTCCTTTCAGTAGATCTTTACAAATATGGAAATTTCAGGTTTCTATTCTATAACTAACATTTCAAATTCCTAAAACATAGACCTACCCATGTTGTGACTCACCTATTGGGGGTCCAAACACGACTGTGAGCTCCACAGAATCATAAAGAAAATTAAAGACTGCCTGCTGCTCACTCCATTCTGCAATCTCCCACTCAGTGAAGCTGAAAAAGGGAAAAAAACCACCCACCATCACCCCAAGTTTCAACCAACCAACCCAAACAATTTCCTGAGGGACAAAGATCAGAGTATTAAATGCACTTGCAGCTCTTACCACATAATATACCAATGAATTTTCCAATTCCAAGCAGATTCTTACATTCCAACAGAATGTAAAAATTTGTTGGGAATGCAAGTATAATACCATACATTTTATATAAATGTTAATTTTGGAATTGGGGGAGAGTTGGATGTTGGAACACAGAGCACCACGGCAAAGCTGTTGATGGAATAACACATGGAAGTTCTCCAAGGCTTTATTCCTTATCCTAGGCTGCAAGGAGATGGGCATCCCAAGATTTCCCACATCAAATAACAAGGAAAAACAAAGCCAACACATTTATGTACAAATGTGAGGCTCTAGAAATAGCTAATAAAAAATAAACCTGAGGGTGTTTTCCTTACTCATATTTCTCCAGGATTTCCTGGCAGCTCTTTTCAACCTTCTTGAGCTCATCCATCTGAACCAGCATCTGCTCATCCTCAGTCTCCATCTCTGACAGTTCTCTGCAAGGATAAACCAATCCCACAGGATGTGGCACAGTAGTTAAAAACACACCAGCCTCTAAAAAGTTAGTGTGCACATAATACTGTGACATCCTTGACATCCCCTCTGACATCTTACCTCTGAAGTTCCTCTTC